GATACTGAATTTTATCATTCCCTTAAGCATAGATATTTGTATATGTATGGTTGTCAGCATATAGTTTTTCACTGTATACAGATAGGTAGAGTCTTTGTGGTTTGATTGTTATATATTGTGTTATATACTTTCCCTTCAAGAAAACTAAAATTCTTACCTCCTGCTAGGTGCAAGGTATGTCCTTCTTGGGGCCTTAGTCGTTGGTGGCAAGTATGTTCTAGGGGCCTCTGTAGCAGGCTGCTGGTAAGTCCTTCTTGGGGCCTTAGTCGTTGGTGGCAGGTATGTTCTAGGGGCCTCTGTAGCAGGCTGCTGGTAAGTCCTTCTTGGGGCCTTAGTCGTTGGTGGCAGGTATGTTCTAGGGGCCTCTGTAGCAGGCTGCTGGTAAGTCCTTCTTGGGGCCTTAGTCGTTGGTGGCAGGTATGTTCTAGGGGCCTCTGTAGCAGGCTGCTGGTAAGTCCTTCTTGGGGCCTTAGTCGTTGGTGGCAGGTATGTTCTAGGGGCCTCTGTAGCAGGCTGCTGGTAAGTCCTTGGGGCCTGCGTTGATGGTGGCAGGTACGTCCTAGGGGCTTCAGTGGTTGGCTGTTGGTAAGTCCTCCTCGGGGCCTGCGTAGATGGCGGGAAGTAAGACCTTGGTGCCTCTGTAGCAGGCTGCTGGTAAGTCCTTCTTGGGGCTTTTGTTGTTGGTGGGAGATAAGTCCTCGGTGCTTCTGTAGCAGGTTGTTGGTAGGTCCTTCTTGGGGCCTGTGTAGATGGTGGTAGATACGTCCTAGGGGCTTCAGTGGCTGGCTGTTGGTAAGTTCGTCTTGGAGCTTGTGTAGATGGTGGCAAGTAAGTCCTAGGGGCCTCTGTAGCAGGCTGTTGGTAAGTCCTTCTTGGAGCTTGAGTAGATGGTGGTAAGTAAGTCCTCGGTGCTTCTGTACTTGGTCTTTGGTAAGTCCTTCTTGGAGGCTGTGTAGTAGGTGGCAAGTAAGTTCTCGGGGCCTCTGTAGCTGGCTGTTGGTAAAGCGTCGACGGCCGGGAGGTTGAAGGTCTACGGGAAAAATGGAACTTGCTAATGAGTCAGATTTAGGAGGACTATGAAAAAATGTGTGAAAATGGATACGACGACAGTGATAATAAAAGTAATAGTGGTGGTAATCATGTTAGCAATGATAAGAGTAATGATAAAGACAAATAGCAATAATTATCATTTTAGTGATGATCATGATTATGATAATAGTAATACTGAAATAACGCCGTGATGCTTAAAAAAATACATATGACATTGCTGACAAAAAGTATCACGATTTGGTATGACTGATAATAATGTAGGCAGTCATTATAATGATAATGATCATGAGCAGCATGATGATAATTTCGATAACTGAAAATAAGGATTTCATGATGATAACAATAACAGCGTTAGGATAGCGACCTTGCTAACAATTTTAATATTAACAAAGAAGATTGATTGTAGTAATGCCGATGATAGGAAAACTATTAAAGATAGCAGTTTTAATAATAACGATAATGAGAATAAGTAAGATGCCATTATTCATTACAATGATAATTCTAATTGTGAGAAACATCATGACATTAATATTAATAAATAATTATAACAAAACGATAGCAGTGACAAATGTGATTTTCATTATATCAGCAATAATATGAAATAAATCATTATTATTAGTTGTATTATTTCCGGTATTATTAGTGTTACTATTATTATCATATCATTACTATTATTATTATCATTATTATAACCATCATTAATACTATTATCCTCATTATTATCATTATCATCATAATAATTAGAATTATTATAAACATCTTCATCATTATCATAGTACTATCATTACTAATATCATTTTGATTTTAAATATAACGTGTAGCCTACTGGCAGAAATGTTATTGTTAGTATTATTATATGTGTTATGAGTGCTGGTAAAATCATCATACAGTTGTTATTGTGATGCATACACTATTTTCTCGTTATCACTTTTGGTGTTATGATTATTGTTATTAGTACTGTGATCTACTGTTGTTCCTCAATGTTAGGGTTGATGTACACATCATGATTATCATCACCATCATCATCTTTATTGTTATCATTATCAATGTTATTATTATTGTTATTGTTATTATTACTATTACGATTAGTAGTATTACTACTATTACTATTTCTACCCTATCATTATTAATATTATCATTATTACTGGTGTTGTTATCATTAGCTGTAACTACTGATAAATGTATTATTATCAGTACTGTTATTATCATAACTGTTCTTATGGTAATTTTTCATTATTATCGCCATCATTTGTGATTATCATCCTTTTGTCACCACCATCTTCATTGTGATTATCCTTTTTTATCGTCCCTATCATTCTGATTATTATTAAAAATAGTATAGTATAACAACAATAGTGGTATCGTCATTATCATCTTGCTAATTATAGTGATGTTAATAGTACAGATAATTATAAATGCAGTTTCTTATGTACGTATAACGATCAACTAATATTGTGCATGAAATGATACTGATGATGGTGACAAAAATAACAGCAATAACCATATTTACACTTTTGACTTTATACTTCTGTTCGTCTCAAAATAAATACAAAGTTCATATCAAGCATAAAATTCCTCATGAGGACGAAACCTCCCAACTCACCTCGGTGTGCTTGGCGCTAGATAGGTCCTTCTTGGAGGAGCCTGGGTAGTTGGCGGCTGGTATGCATTGGAAACCCGTGGCCGAGATTCTACAGGTGCAAAGAAAGTGGGAGTGTGGCCCCTGCCTGTGTTGTGAGCCTTGTTCCTTGGCCGAGTGCCCACCGAGGTCGTCGAGAAGACCGAAGTGTCTGGCAGGAAGTATTCAGTGCTGGGCGCCTTCAGGTCTGTTGATCCTAACTCACTGAATGCTTCTGCTGGTACGGGGTAGGAGTACCCAGAGATTTCCTCGGAGGAGTCGTCCTCTTCGTCTCCCAGGGCATCAAAAGGAATGGCAGGAACAGGGTAACTGTAGCCTACAGTTTTTTTCGAGGAGCCAATAAAGGCATCTCCAACAGCCTCCAGCTCAGACTCTTCAGAGGAGTCTTCCTGTTCTCCTAAAGCGTCGAAGGGAATGCTGGGAACAGGGTAATTATAACCAGTTGTTTTTTCTGAGGACCCTACAAAGGCATCTCCGAGGACTTCCAAAACCTCTTCGGATGAATCCGCTTCATCTCCGAGGGCATTGAAGGGAATCTGAGGAACAGGATAATTATAACGTGTAGTTCTCTCTGAGGAACCAACAAAGGCGTCCCCTAGGGCTGCCAAGGCGTCCGACTCTTCAGAGGAATCATCTTCGTCTCCGAGAGCATTGAACGGATTTTGAGGAACAGGATAATTATAACCTACAGTCTTCTCAGAGGAATCTGTGAAGGCATCCCCGACAGCCTCCAAAGGATCTTCCTCCTCAGAAGAGTCTTCGTCTCCAAGGGCATCGAAGGGAATCTGAGGCACAGGGTAGTTGTATCCTGTAGTCTTTACCGAGGAACCTACAAAGGAATCCCCTACAGTTTCATGCGGGTCTTCTGAGGAGGACTCCTCAGAGGAGTCATCCGAGGGAGCTGAGTAGAGTCGACCCGGAGCTCTCAGACTGCTCGATCCAAAAACGTTGAAGGCCCTGGCCGGGACAGGATAGGCATATCCTGAGTCTTCCTCGGATGATTCTTCCGTTGGAGGTGAATATTTAAGCCCTGGAGCTCTTAGGCTGCTTGATCCCAAAGCATTGAAGGCTTCTGCTGGAACAGGGTAGGCATATCCCGAGTCTTCTTCTGAGGAATCTTCATCTCCCAGAGCATCGAAGGGAATCTCAGGCACGGGATAATTGTACCTAGTTGTCTTCTCAGAGGAACCTATGAATGCGTCTCCAACAATCTCTAGAGGATCTGATTCCTCAGAGGAGTCATCTTTCTCTCCAAGAGCATCAAAGGGAATCTGAGGCACGGGGTAGTTGTAGCCGGTCGTTTTCTGTGCAGAACTAATAAAGGAATCACCTACTGCTTCACGAGGGTCTTCTGGAGAGGAGTGATATTCCTCAGAAGAATCGTCTGAAGGAGCAGCATATAAGCGTCCTGGAGGCTGTGGAGCTCTCAAGCCTGTCGACCCAAAAGTATTGAAAGATCGCGCCGGGACAGGGTAAGCATAGCCAGGAGTTTCTTCAGATGAATCTTCGTCTCCCAGGGCATCAAAAGGAATGGCTGGGACAGGATAGTTATAGGAAATCGTTTTCTCTGAGGAACCGATGAAAGCGTCGCCCACAGCCTCGAAGGCGTCATCCTCTTCCGAAGAATCGTCATCTCCCAGGGCATCGAAGGGAACTGCAGGCACGGGATAAGAATACCCAAGAGTCTTCTCAGACGAATCTGTGAACGCATCACCCACGGCTTCCAGGGGACTGTCCTCAGACGAATCCTTTAAAGCTGCAAATTTATCGAAAGGATTTTTAGGAACACGGAGGGAATACTCGAAGGTTCCCCCGGAGGAGCCTACAAACGAGTCCCCAAGGAGACTGAGTTCAGAATCGAACCTCTCTTCCGAGGATTCCTCGCCGTGGCGCGACTTGTGGCCGAAGGACTGAGAGGGACGCCTCGAGCGGAACTGGACGTTGCTGGGGCGCTCGTAGAAGGGGCTTGGGGGCGAGTTGGCGTCTCCGCCTGATGGATCGAACGAGCGGGCGGGAGCGGGGTAGGCGTACCCGGAGTCCTCCTCGGAGGAGTCGGGCGGCGGGGGCACCATGTCCGACGCCGCCGAGGCGTCCATGGAGGGCAGCGGCGGCGGGAAGGTGTACCCCGACGACCCCTGGCGTGACGGAGACTGGTGGTGGCTTCCGTGATGACTGTCATGGTGACTGGCGTGATGACTGGCGTGATGACTGCTGTGATGACTGCTATGGTGACTGGAGTGGTGGTGATGCCCTCCTAACTTGTCGGACGTGGCGGTTCCTATCACCGCCAGGAGCACAATCAGCGCCGCCT